CAATTTGCATATTCCTCTATTATTAGTATAGATATGATTATATATTTATCCACTCTCCACATTAGGAATACTTAGAAGCTTTAGTATTTTTACTACTGTAATCAATGCATCAGGGAACATTTTTGCACAAGTTTGTTTGGGCACACCAGTGAGAGTTTCATTGGGGATATCCCATAAGCATTTCAAACATGAGAGAATGAGAAAGAGTAGCTAAACTGTGGAATTCTGGGCCCACTGTTTTCTCCCCTAACCCACAGTTAGGGGCTTGTCCAATCCTGTGCTCACATACAAAAATAAGTTAAAAATAATATTTTATTTTTTATGGGTGGAATATGTTTATAATAATACTAGAGGCCTGGTGCACAAAATTCATGCAGTGTGGGGGTACCTCAATCCAGCCTGCACCCTCTTGCAATCCAGGACCCCTCATGGGATGCCTGACTGCTGGATCGGGCTTAAACCAGCAGTGGGACATAACTTTTGCAATCTGGGACCACTGGCTCCTAACGGCTTGCCTGCCTAATTGTGCCTAACCACTTTGCCTGCCTGCCTGGTCACTCTTAACCCCTCTGGTTGGTTGCCTGATTATCCCTAATCACCTCTGCCTGCCTGCCAACTCACCCCTAATTGCTCCCCTGCTGGCCTGATCAACCCTAACTGCACCCATGCCTGCCTGATCACCCCTAACCACCTCTGCCTGCCTGAACGCCCCTAACTGCACCCATGCTAAACTGATTGCCCCCAATTGCCTCTGCCTCAGTCCCCAAATCCAGGCTTCTCTCTTCTGGACGGTAACAGGAACCCGAGACCAGGGCTTCCCTCCCTCTGGCTGGCCACAAGCAGCTGGGACCTGGGCTGGCTTCGCCTGGGCAGGCCACAGGCACCAAGGACTGGGGACAGGTTTGCCTAGGCCAGCCGCAGCCATAAGCACCCTGGACCATGGGAGGCTTCTCCCAGGCCTGGCTTTGTCAGGAAGGACATCTGGAAGGTCATCCAGAAGGTCATCCGGAAGACACCCAGTCTAATTAGCATATTACCCTTTTATAGTATAGATTATGCATACTTAACCTAATTTTCCAGGTGTTGTGGACATCCTGTAAAATTCCAGGATACCTTAGAGCAAACAGGGATGTACCCAGTCTCAAGTTAAATGAAACCCAAAAGAATGTGGGTTCACACAGTAGGACTGTGTTGTGAAAATATAACAATACAAAACTACGTGCCAAGGACAGGGTTAAAAGCCAAATAAGCAGGCACCAGGAAGTGCTTTATGAGTTCTGGTAGCCCTGTCCTCTGTCATTTGAACTGGGATGGAGAGATTTGTTATGAGGTTGTCTAAAAGGGCATTGCAGTCCAGAGGCAGAAACCAAGTTTCCAGAAAGGTACCATTTCCAAGCCTGCAATTCAGTGAAGAGCAGTCAAATGGGAAGGGGTGCCTAAAACAATAGATAGAGCATCAGCCTGTGGACTCAACGGTCCCAGGTTCAATTTCGGTCAAGGGCATGTACCTTGGTTGCGGGCACATCCCAGTAGGGGATGTGCAGGAGGCAGCTGATTGATGTTGCTCTCTCATCGATGTTTCTAACTATCTCTCTCCCTTCCTCTCTGTAAAAAAAATCAATAATATATATATATATATATATATTTTTTTTTTTTTAATGGGAAAGAGAATGTTTGGTGCCTGCACATGAGGTTAACCTAGACTGCAGCATTTAAGCCTCTCAAGGGCCGGCAGGTGGTCAGTTTCTAAAGCCATCTCTTGGAGGCTGGCATGGAGAAAGCTACGGGAGGCACTGGGGTTTTGTTACTCTTCAGTTAGCTGCTGCTCTGCCTCCTATCCCCTGGCTCCTGCTTCTCTCCCCTCTCTTTCTGCTTCCCTCCCCCCCGCCCCTTTCAGTTTGCCTCCCATCATTCTCTGCTATAATTAAAACAAGTAGAAAACTTGCAGGTGTCTGCTATAAAGCATTTGCAGATACTGTGTAGCACACACACACACACAAAAAAAGCAGCTGCAAATTGTGTAATTTGGTCTTTAGAAAAAAAACTGAAAGGTTTCTGGAAATAAACTCATCCTCCATCCTGGTAGGTTTTGAATTTCCTTTTTTGTTTCTGCTTTAGCCCAGTTCATCACCATTGCCTCACTGCCTTGGCAGAAAGTTTCAACGCTGTGAGTGCCATTACTATTTTAGAAGAAATGGGAGATTTCTGAGATGATGGCTTACTATGGGGAAACTGACTGCAGGGTCTGGCACAGTTTTAGACAGAGTTTCTTTCAGTCCAAATAACACCCGAGAATAACAGCAACTATAAGGTACTAACGATGACAAAAAGTAAAAATGGGCTGAAATAATATCTGTAATACTTGAAAGGGACCTTCCCTCCCCGGAGGAAACCAATATACTGGCACAGATAACATGGAGGACACCTCATTGCTTTCTTGGGACATCCATTTAGGTCTGGAAGCCATTTAAAAGATATGCTCCTAGGGCAGACCATGGGTGTTCCAATTTGAGCTTAAGGCTGGGCCATGTCTTCTTCTCCCCTGACTTTCAAGTTTCTCTGCACCATGGAGTGGGCACAAGAGCTCAGGAAGTCAGTTTAGCATCAAAGAGTTCAGATTCTCCAGTCAGACAGGGCTGGGATTTAAATCCTGGTTTTACCTCTAACTGTGACCATTGGAAAAGTTACTTACCTACATTTTTATTTCCTCATCTGTAACAAGGGGAAATTCTATGTGCACCATGGTCATAATTCTTGAGAGGACATAAGGAGATAATGCATATGAAGTACTTACTAATATAGTGCCTGCCATGGGAAGGGTAGACAGTAATGATAGAGCTAGTGATGGTGAAGGTGGTGGTGAAAACTTTGCTTCCCTTTCTTTTAGAGCCCCACAGTGCCATCTTATGTGGGTCACATCCATTCATCTATCCATCCATCCATCCATCCATCCATCCATCCATCCTCTCACTCATTCAAAAAATATCAGAGACCTCTATTATATGCTGGGCATTGTTCCAGGGTTCTATTCAACAGTATATGCCTTTATAGCCACTAATATTTAAAAATAAAAACAGAAAGCATGCAATTAGTAAAACTTAATAGTGATGAAGAATGGATGACATATAAATACATTTCAGTAAATTAACATTAGGTTGAATCAAATCACCTTAGTTATTAGTCATGCTATATTTCCACACCTATGTCAAAAGTAATTTGTGTCTTTTTGCTCCTGGTGGCAAACTTTGAGTAATAAGTTAGATTTCCCCTGGGAGAAACACAAAGCCCTTGAATACATTCTCTATCTGAGCAAGAAATTTATAAGCCCAAGTAGAGTCATCACTATCTGAATGGCTTTTCTGTTTAACCCAAACTTTATTTCATAGCAGAGTATAGTCATCAGGCAATTATTTTTCTGAGTTCAGTGTAAAGTATTTTGTTCCTTTCTTTTCCTTTTTCGCTGCAACATTTTGTTTCCTTCTCTTTCTTATTGGCCTTCTTGCCTTTGTTTCTTCCCTTTCCATTAAATTTTGCATATTTATTTTCCCTGCAAGCCAGACCATTATTCATTCATTCATTCATTCATTCATCCCCTTTTATTCACTCAACATGATTTGACTCTCTATTAGTGCCTGGAACTTGCCACTTCTCTCCTTAATCACTAGTCATGGTTCCCTATTACATATGAATCAAGCCTATAGCCTTCACTCTAGTTCCACCCTTAAAATTATTATTTTCTATTATAACTGTCCACTCCAGACTGGTTGTAGGAAAGTCCTTTGTATCATATTTTCATTTTTATACCTCAGTTCTTTTACAGCAGCATGACTACCATCAAAATCCTTATTATTAAAAGTTTGCTCGGACTCATTTCTTCTATGGAGTATCCTACAATTCTAGCTTGGCTGTCCTCAAATTTTGGAACTTTGATGCTAAACAGAATGAGTCAGAAATGCATGATCCTCTTCCAATTAGGCTGGGAAATGAAAACTCTTAGCACATTACTACCTTGGGTATTATGTTTGGTACCTTCTCACACCATCTCAATCTAATCCACACAGCAATATTCCTATTCCTATTCTACTGGTGAGAAAACAACGGCTTAATAATTTGCTACTTTCCCAAAGTCACACAACTCGGAAGAGATGAGGCTACTATTCAGACTCAGATATGTGTAAATCCATACATAGCCCGAGCTCTGAAACAGCGATTTTCAACCTTTTTCATCTCATGGCACCTATAAACTAATGACTAAAATCCTATGGCACACCAAAAAATTTATTATCATTTTTGATGATATGACAAAAAAAATAGGTATAATTTTGATTCATTCACACTGGATGGCTATCACTGTGTTGGCTGTTGTCATTTTTATATATAAAGCAGATTAAATAGGTGCTGCATGTTTTAACAATTATTGCAGCACACCAGCATGCCACAGCACACCAGCTGCTCTAAAATACTGTGCAATGTTGGCTCTCAGAAATATAAAATATGAAAGGTCTCATTTACTGCAGATTCCTTCCCAAACCCCACAGGCAAACTCCCAAATTGAACTTACCACATGCTGAGATTTAATCCAGGATTTATCTTCCTTGGCACTCCTGACATTTTGGGCCAGGTAATTCTTGGTTGTGGGGAGCCCTCCTGGGAACTGTAGGATGTTTTGCATCATCCCTGGCTTCTACCCTAGATGCCAATAGCATCCCCTTTTCAGTTATAATAATAGAAAATGTCTTCAGAGATTGCCAAATGTCACCCTAGATGCAAAATTCCCCCCAGTTTATAACCACTGGCCTAATTCAGTCTTGCAATATGGACACATCTAAGGACAAACTAAACATAAACTACATAAACATGGGAATAGTTATACTGTGCACAAACACGTTTTCTATGGATAGCTCCATAAGATGTCTTCATAAGCAACAGCATTGTCATTTAATTCAAATGCAATGTAAAACATTACTCAAAACTATAGTTTTTAAGGAAATTGAGCTTGTGTAAGAAAACAATTTTATTTTGTTTGTTGTAAGAGGACCATTTCAAAACTTATTTCAAACCAAGAAAAACAATAAGAATGAAATCCTTTATGAGGTTAATATGTAAATATGTTCAGAGAATAAGCGACACAATCCAGTTGAAAAGGCTTCCTCCTGATAGGATACAACCATTAGCAAGATCAAAAAGTCTCTCGAGATTGAGTATGGATGGCAGCGAGACCTTAAATGGAACCTGAGAAAAAGCATAAAAATGTTTATGAAATGCATTGTTTTGAACTGTTGACTGAAGTAAAGTTCTCAAAATACACAAATACCAGTTCCATATAATAATTTTATGTGAAAGATATATAATTCTTGCCTAAGGTAAGATTGCAGCTTTACACTGCTGAAATGTCACATATATCATTTTATATCCTATTAAGATTCACATCTATGAGTCTATAAAACAGCATACTGATTCATACTGATGAATCTGTAAAATTGAGCCTATAAAACAGCAGATACTTCTAGAAATGTGGACTATTTGTGTGGGCATAATCATTGAGAATGATTCTAAATGAAGGACGTTGGCTTCTGAATAGACTGCTCAGTTGACAAATCTCCATCTCTCATTTTGAGCTTAAGTCCTGCCACAGTGAAGCAAATTAGGTTAGGGGTTCACTCTCTTTGAAAGGTACTATTACCACGCCAAGGACTAGTATAGCCAAAGTCATCTGAGAGCCTAACAAAAAGCAATAAGACAGCTTTTGTGATTGTAGCACTGACTATTTGATGGGGAGGAGGGCAGAAAGGGGAGAATAACATGAAGGGAAGGAAATGAATGTTTACTGCAGACACACTTCATGCACATCTAGATACTTTTGAAGATGAATGATGTCATGTCGAATGACTCTAATGACTTAGATTCTTGTGAGCCTGAATCCTGGTTAAAAAAAAAAAATTAGAGGACAAGGATTATTAATTCCTTGTCTACTTGTTAAATGAACCTATTATTCTCCAGAAAACATAGTGAACCTAAAAGTGGAGACTAGTTTTCTATTTGTTTTTCTTTACTTTTTGGATTTAAAAAGTGATAAAAGTTATTCTATAACTTCAAATAAGAAAGAGGTGAATATAAAAACTAATGATATCCTCTTCATCACTAAATTTTAGACTAATTAATACCACCAATTTGAGAATTCTTCCAAAATTGTTAAAATCCTCATACAAATGTATATTATTAATAACATGGGTCTTTTCCTTTTCTTTCTTTCCTTATTTTTTGAACTAAAATAACCAAATTTCAATTCATTGCTTTTTAAATTACCAATATATAAGAGAAATCCCTCCTTAATCAATTCAGGGAGGCAGAATAGCCACATGGAGGTCAGGAGTATGAATTCTGGAATAAGACCATTTGGTTCATACCAGATATATGAGGTTAGGTAAGATATTTTATGTGTTTTAATGTTAATTTTCTAACCCATAAAATGGAAATAATAAGAATTACTATATAGTATTGTTGTTACAAGAATGGAGTAAGTTTACACATAGTAAATAGAATTGGCCCTTTAACTATGTTGGGATTAGGGATGCCAATCCTCCCATACAATTGAACATCTGCATAAAACTTTTTTACTCCCTCACAACTTAACTGCTAATAGCCTATTGTTGACTAGACACCTTATCGATGGCATAAACAGTTGAGTAACATATTTTGTATGTTCTATGTATTAAATACTATATTCTTACAATAAGGCAAGCTAGAAAAAGAAAATCATAAGGAAGAGAAGATATATTTACAGTACTGTAGGTGTTTATTTTAAAATTCCACATATAGGTGGACTCACACAGTTCAAATCTGTGCTGTTCATGAGTAAACTGTACCTAGAAGAGTGCCTATCACAAACACCTAATCAAGGCTATGTTGTATTGTCACTATTGAACACACCATTTTTAATGGTTCTATAACAATGCCTGGCCTGGGCCATCCTTCATTAAAGAGGTAGTTTCTAGTTTTTGAGCATGCTTGTCTACTTATATATCTCCTGGGTGCAAGTGCTTTAATTTCTGTATTACTGATTCCTCAAGATGGTTGTTCTGGTCAAAGGGTGTTTACATTTACTTTTTTAACATTTCTTATCAGATTACTTTCCAAATAGGTTCTGACAATTAATACTTCAATCAGAAACAAATGAGGGGTTTCACACCCAGGGCAGCATATTATTATCATGGAATGTTATAATCTTGTTATTTTGCCATTTAATGACTATCTTTCTTTATTAAAAGTTAGGGACATCTTAGAGAGCTAATATTAATTTGTTTATTAATATGTTGACATATATGTGATTACCATGATTACTCTGGTTACACCTCATTGCTATATAATTGCACTAAACATTCAGTTTATTATATGGCAATGAAAGACCTCACATCCAATAATACCCTTTGTTAGATAATTTTCAAAGTAGTAAGAATAATTGTCATTAAAACATTTGTGTGTCTTTTCTCTGGAGCTGTATTTCTGTTATTATAGAATTTTTTCTCATATTAAAGATTACAGTATTTAAGATAAAAACACAAAGAGGCCACATTAGTTTTAGATAACATGAGAAGTATCTTTATGGCATAATTTATATACTGGATCCAGATAGAGCACTTTGGCCTCTGACCCTTAACAATGAACTTGCAGAAACAAGTGGCCATTTGTAAAAGGATGGAGATTAATTGCTGGGTTTATTGATGAGGCTGCAAGTGAACACTTCGGGTCAGAAAGATGAAATAAAAAGCTGTCATCCTGGAGTTGTTAATTTTTTTCCATCCTCTGGAGAACACTAATGACCCTAAGATGTCAGAACTTACCCTTGTGCTATTATTCCTACCTTTTCAGACATCTGGGCAATTTGGGGGCAAACTGCAGGGTTTCATTAAAATCAGGCCTGGACTTGAGTTTGTTGAGGAGAGTTTCCAAAGGCATTGGAGAATTACAGGTTACTTGCCAATGCTATACTGTGTTGTTGTTTTTTTAATGTGTTTCTGCATGAATATTAGATTTTATCATAATGAAATATTTTATTACTTCTGTCCCTTTGCTCCAATGATTTTCCTTGATTGGCAGAGAAATCATAGTCTTGAAAGTATCTATAATTTTTCTCAATCCACTGAGTTTTTATTGAGCCCTACTTTGAGACCTCTTCTTGCTTCTCTCAGCACACCATTGTCAGTTGCCTTTTTATTGCTTCTAAGTGTTAGTGACCAAGAAAAAGGGACAAAGCCAGATTTCTACCAATCAACTAGGTCTCTCTGCCCTGATAATTGGTAAGTGAATATAAAATTGTGGGCTTTGTGATACAGGTGGCTTTAGCTTTGCCTCCTTTCAAGTACCTTAAAACACAGAGAGTCACAGCCATGAGAGGAATTATTTGATAGTTTCAGTGTGGGAAAGCAATTTCACCCAGCATTCTCACATATAAGTTTCACTACCATGGTTTCTATGTCTTCTTAGTAGCTCAGCTGAGTGTTTAAAGTTAATGATTCATTGGATTTTTGTTTTCAAACTGGTGAAAAACATGCATTCCAAAGTAAAAAGAATCATATGACACTACCTTACTTAAGAATATAAATCATGAATGATTGCTTATCCACCTAATAAAAGTTCTAGGTGAGAGGGAAGTTGATATATTTGGTTTCACTGTACTTTTTATATGATGAAGATAATCCCAATACAAAAAAAAAAAACACAAAAAAAACAATGGATAATATTCACCACAATCTAATAGATACAACACCAACTCTTAGGAAGGTCAGAAAGGCTTGTATATACAGTTCTATCATACCATAGGAAATTTCACACGTTTCTGAGAATAAGATTTATCTTTTGCATTACTTTAATTTTTGTATTAAAAAAAAACAACTAAGTATGACAGAAAAGAAATGTCTTTTTTTGTTTTTGTTTTCTGTTTTTTAAAAATATATATTTTATTGAATTTTTACAGAGAGGAAGAGAGAGAGGGATAGAGAATTAGAAACATCGATGAGAGAGACACATCCATCAGCTGCCTCTTGTACACCCCCTACTGGGGATGTGCCCGCAACCAAGGTACAAGTCCTTGACCAGAATTAAACCCGGGACCTTTCAGTCTGCAGGCTGACGCTCTATCCACTGAGCCAAACCGGTTTCGGCTTTTTTTTTTTTTTTTTTTTTTTTTTTTTTTTTTTTTTTACCATAATATGAGATTAAAGTGTCATATTGGAAAGATAGCAGGAATATTTTAAAATTAATCTTAAATAAATAACATTACTATAAAAACACTTTGCAGAGAACAAGAACATTAGAAATTAAGATAGGATACGGGAGAGAACGCATTTGTGCAGAAAATTGGTTCAAATGTTACACTGTCTAAGAATAGAACACATTCTTCTTAAATCACCACCACCATTGTCACTGAAGCTCTCCAGGCACTGACTCCTGGCTGAGCATGGTGCTTCCTTGAGCTCTTGAGCAGAGGTCATCTTTTAATAAAGGCCAATCCTTGCTCAGACACGATGTTCCAAAAGCACAGAAAACCAAATGTGTCTGTCCAGTCAAAGTAATTTCAGCAACTTCTCAGTGATTCTATGATTGCCAACTTTGTTTCCCTTCTCACATCTAAGTAGATGCCAAAAGTATTTTTGCACAATGGCCTCTATGCAGAGTACCTCCAGGAGAGAAGATCTGTTGAGGGAGACTGTATCTACTGGGATGCATCTTTAAAAATCCATTTTAGGTTATGCACATAGTTTACAGTAAATATAAATATTTGGTCTTTGACCCAGGTTTCCTGGCATAGAGCTCCTAAAGGTGCTGAAAATTTTCTCTTAAGTGCTATCTAAAGGATCCCATGTTCTATTCCAGTCAAGGGCACATACCTCAGTTGGAGGCTCTATCTCTGGTTCTGGTTGGGGCTGTACAGGAGGCAACCAATCAACGTGTCTCTCTCAAATGAATGTTTCTCTCTGTCTCTCCATCTCCCTTCCACTCTCTCTAAAAACAAACAAGCAAAAAAAAAATCATCCCTACACCTTCAACTTTGAGGGGGCAGAGGGGCTGGAGGTTGAGTTCAATCATTAATGGCTCATGATTTAATCAGTATTACCTACATCATGAAGCCTCTATAAAAATGCCATGCTGACAGGTTTCAGGGAGCTTCTTAGTGGGTGGAAATCCAAAGAGAGTATGGAAGCTCTGCTCCTCCCATCCCCCTATATCTTGTT